GAAGGGAACCATAAATCCTTAACCCAGTGCTTGACCCATTACCATCTACAGGATTATGCACTGGGATTTCATCTGCACCATCAGCTTCTTCAGAGGGAGAAAGAATAAGTGCATGTATATAAGAGCACAATGCCAGAATCATGTAAATCTACAAGTCATGAACTGGATAGTCATCATTAATAAAGGAGGGCATCCTTAGGGGAGGGTAAGAGTAAGAATCCTATTCCTGTTCCTTACTAAATGACTCTGTAAATTTGATTTTACATCAGTGAGTCACCTATTGAGTAGAGTCACTGTGCAAAAATTATGCAAAAAATATAATTGTTTATACATTTTTAGTTTTAACTATGTGAGTGATATCATAGAATGGGGGCCATTTTGTAACCTTTTCCCTCTGAAAACATTTTCTTGTTTGCTCTGATATTGGTGACTTTGCAGTTTTGATATTTTAGCAGTCCTGTAGTGAACTTTCTTGTGCATGTGCCTGTAAATCTCTGCGGTTTAGACCTAATAGGGTAGAAGTTGACAGGTGACACACTTTCTTCTCTTACAGATGTTGTAAAGTGTTTTCACAAATAATTGCATTAATATGTTCTCTCCCAGCAATGTATGCAGATCTCATGACCTCATATTTTCCATGTAAAGAGAATGAAACATAAATACAAGCCCACTGATTGGGTTTTCTTTTAAAACTCTACAAAATTCCAGGAAATTTTCTGAGTCATGAAATGAGACCATAATCAAATTCAATTTGATTTTTGTCCAATGTTTATGATCTTTGACAAAGCAGTCCACTTTTGAGAATTTCCCCCAAATTCAGTCAGCATAGGCTCCTATGGTTAATCACTCATCTGTCCACATTGCTCAATGCTAAGCTGACCATTTCCCTGGATAACTCAGTACATTCAGACCCCCTAAGTTTTCTCCATCCATTCAGATAGGAAAATCTGTCTCACTGCTGGATGCTCAGCCTGGTTGGACCATACACAAATCCATGCCAAATTTGATATGAAGCAGTGTTCAGGGTCCTAAGATTGGAGGATCTTATGAGGTACATGGAAATCTGTAACCTTAGAAGGTTGCTAGGTGAATATTGAATTAAAATGAGAAGTATTTATTCACATTCAAATTTTTTTCACAAAAAGTGTGTCTTGAGAATATATTACCTGTGACAGGGATAGCCTTGCAACAAGGAAGTTACTTTCCTTAAGCACACATAGGCAAGACTCCTTGGGACAGCAGCTAGGATATGCATTGCAGTGGTTGACTTTTAGACTGACCCAGTGTAGCACCACAGTGTGGATAAATCTGTTTGATTCTGTTTTATTAAGAAATATCTTGTCCTCAGACCTAAGCGTTTTTCTCCAATGTCACCTTAAGAAGGAATGAAGTTGATGCTTTGTTCTCCATAGGCTCTTGTTGTATTTCTTGGTTGGCTCAGAGATCAGATGTGGAGGAGGAGTATTTGGGCAGAGTCTCATAATGATCCAAGCTTTATGGGCCAACATGATAGGAAGAGAAAGTAAGCCATCTAGAAAAGAAAATGAGAAAAGAGAGTTGTGGGCTCTTTGCAATACCCACCTCTGGCAAGCAAAGCAGAACACACACTTGTTCAGCCCAGACCAGACTATGATTAATAGTTTTGATAGGGAAAGGGGCTGGGCTGAGGAACCCCTGTTTCTCCTTCCAAATTCATTAATCAGATAATTGATACCCAGAGGAGTGAGAATGTAGAGATGCTAAAGTCATTTTGTGATTTATGTCCCTCTGTATGAAAGAAAATATCAAAATTGGAAGATAACAATTTTGACTGGAGTTGCTGTGAGTTTGTACATCAAAAACTGGGGAGAAATTGACATCTTAACAATCCCAAGTCTTCTGATCCATGAACAGGGTATATCTTCTAATTATTTACATATTTAATTTTCTCAGCAATATTTTGTAGTAATCAATGTACATATCACAGTTCTGGAGACAGATTGTTCATAAATATTTCATGCTTTTTGATGTATTTTAAAATATTATTTTACAAATACAAATGTCAGTTATTCTATTTTTCTGAACTTTCAGCAACCATATGTTAATATTAGCTGTTAAGGAATATTTTTTGTAGAAAAATTATTTCATGCTTAATCCACATTTATCAATATTTCCATGTAAGATTTTGGAAGCCGTTAGGAATACATAGAAACTGGGGATAAAAATGTCCCAGGAACAGTTCTACAGGTCATCTACAGAAAAAAAATCAATCTCTAAAAGAACATAGTTTAGTAGCTTTCAATAGTATATACATGGTTAGAAATATTAACCGTTGAAATGTGTGCTTTTACTTCTTTATCTCCTAAAAAATTCAGCTTAATGAATTCCTGGGATCCTGGGTGGTGTGAAAGAAGGGGAAACAACATGTACATATTTGTATATCCTGGAATGTATGTATGTATTTACATACCACTGAAGCTGCTAGGAATTTTTATTGTGAAGAATACTTAAAGTTAATTTTTGTGGTCAAGTCGTTCTTATTCAGATCCTAGCACATATTAGAGATGAGATTACTGTGGCTGTTGTTTGTTTTTCCTAACATTTCCTTGGCCAGCATGGTTACCATAGTGACTGCGACTGCTGTGGGATTTGGAACATACTGAGCATCTGTTTATGATTTTTGCCTGAATTACTAATTACTTTGGTGCTCAAATGTGCTGCTTTTCTAATTCTGATGTTCCTTCTAAAATTTTTTGTTGGCATTTGAGAAGAGTGTAGAATCTTCATTTCCTATTTATTTATTTATCATGTACCAATATCATTATATCAGTCTGATTCTAAGATCCACATTTTTTTCTCAGAAGTTATCCTCTGTTATATATTTTATGGTTAGATTGTCCCCAAATTAACCAGTGGAAGTCACTTCAACTGGGTCTAAGTGTCCACCTGATACCTTTCTAGAATTCCCTGAGAATTTACTTTGCTCTCTGAGACTAACATCTCCCCATGTATAAAAAAGAAGCAATGAAGCCTTCTTCAGAGCATCATTTTTTGAAGATCATCTAAAAATAGCAACCTACAATGTAGTGCATCTTTTATCCATCAGCAAAGCAAATGTTACTTCCTCGTTCATACTTTGCTTCCTTCATTCTGTCCATACAATATGTATTTTTTGTTTTTTGGGGGGGAATTTTTGCTTGTTTGTTTTTGGTACCAGGGACTGAACCTGGGGGACAGGGGCTTATACACTGAGCAACATCTCCAGCCCTTTTTTATATTTTATTTAGAGATAGAGTCTTACTAAGTTACTTAGGGCCTCACTGAGTTGCTGAGACTGGCTTTGAACTTGAGATTCTCCTGCCTCAGCCGCCCGAGCCACTGGCATTATGTTGTGTGCCACTGTGCTCAGCCAAACAATGCCTATTATATCAGTATAATACCCTGACAATAGTGAGAATACTTGGAAATGTAACATCAAGCAGGGATAATCTGATATTTTCATTATTAGTGAGTTTCTGGGTCACTACTGTGTGCAGAAGGGAGTTGTGGAATGGAGCTGTGAAAGAGGAAAAACATCATTGAACAGCTTCCAGTTAACTTGAGTTGGGAAAGGCAAGACAACATCCTCTTATTTTTTTCTCTATTCTATGTGTTTTCTTTCCCTTTACTTATTCTTCTAGTTTAACATCAGAGAATGGTGTGCACTCTGTATTCCAGAGCCAGGAGCTTATAGAGAAAAATAAATATGATGTTGAGTCTGCCAGACAGATTCCTGGAGAGATTAGTGTCCCATCATGGGAACACTTTTGGTAAGATGCTACCCTACACTAGCCTCCTCTATATAAGATCTTTCTGATCATCAGGAATACTCTGAAGATAAGTATGATCCCATGTAGGAAAGAAATGTGTGGTCTAAATGTGGTTTATGAACTTTCAAGTAAATAAATTAACAAACACTCCAGATGTCCCATAACTATGCAATAGTACTTAATAAAATAATATCACCCAAATGTGAGCTATTGAGATCAGCATTTTTGAAAGTGTGGTCCATGAATCACTTCATCAAAATCATCAATTGTTACTTATTAAAATAGCACATATTTGGGTCCACCCTATGTCTGCTGATTCAAAACCAGGAAAGTAGGATGGACATGTGCATATTTTGAGTAATTTCTCCAGTTGTTTCCGAATTCATCCAGGTTTGAAAGCACTTTTGTTAATTTGTAACAAGTTCTGCTAAATTTTTGAATCCTTTGATGTCTAATTCCATTGTTGGTTACTCCTATTTCTTGGCTTTAAATGTCTGTGTATTCTCTGGTGTATCAAATTGGTAAAATTTCCTTCAATTAAATAATATTTATTCAGTAATTCATATATGAGACTAAGATCTAGGCACTAGGGAAACAGAGCAAAGAACAAGATAGGCAGAATCTCTGGAGCTAACATTCTAATTTGAATTAGCAGGGAAACAAATCATTAAAAAGAACAATCTCATATGGTGATTTCTGATTTGAAGATAATAATACACATAAATAGAGTAGAAAATCAGGGAACAAGGATTATGATAGATGGGGTTGTCAGTGAAGCTCCTTCTCAGGAAGTGGTATTTGAGCTGAGTCCAAAGGACAAGAAGAAGCCAGGCATGAATCAGTAATTTCATCAGTGTCCCTGCGCTGTTCATGGACATCAGCTGATCAAGAAACAGAGGAAAAATTCAGTGTTGGCAGCCTGGCAGTCAATATGTAGACTAGTGGGAGGTGAGGTGCAAAGGGCAACCGGGAGCTATAGGGTTCGGTCCACAAAGGGAGTTTGGGTTTTGTTCTGAGTGTGAAGGGTTAGAGTTTGGGAGTGAAAGAATCTGATTCTTGTCAAAAGGTAACTCTGGCTGCTGTGTGGAGAATGGACTACAAAATAGCCTGTGCAAACAATCATTTGAATATTGCTGAAGTTCAGGGGAGGGAATAGGGTGGATAGAACCAGTGGCGTGTGCAGAGAGGAAATGCACCTACACAGGGCGTGTCCGGAGATAAGGCAGTCTGTATCTCCAGTGGCTGTGTGTCCTTGTGGGAATAAGGCAGAATCAAAAAGGAGCCCTGGGCTCTGTCAGCCACATGGAGAAATAGAGTTGGTGTTTTCTGACATCAGTTATACTAAGCGCCTCTGACATTCTAAATACATTGAACAGTGCTTGTACTGTAAACTAGTGACTTGGAAAAAGAAAAAAAAATCGGGTTGGCGCACGCTCAGGGAACGCCTGCCTAGCAGTCAGCTAAAATCACAAGGAGCAAGTGCGCAGGGGGAACCAGAGCCCAGACCCTGGTGTGCCTGTGGAGACAGGGTCGTGGGAGAAGGTCGAGATGAACTCGATTTTATCGCGGGCGAACTCACTGTTCGCTTTCTCGCTGAGCGTGATGGCGGCGCTCACCTTGGGCTGCTTCATCACCACAGCTTTCAAAGACAGGAGCGCCCCGGTGCGTTTGCACGTTTCGCGGATCCTGCTGAAAAATGTAGAAGACTTCACTGGACCCAGAAAAAGAAGTGATCTGGGATTCATTACATTTCATATCACTGCGGATCTGGAGAATACTTTCGATTGGAATGTTAAGCAGCTGTTTGTTTATTTATCAGCGGAATATTCAACAAAAAATAATGCTGTGAATCAAGTGGTCCTTTGGGACAAGATTGTTCTGAGAGGTGATAATCCGAAGCTGCTATTGAAAGATATGAAGACAAAATATTTTTTCTTTGATGATGGAAATGGTCTCAAGGGAAACAGGAATGTCACTTTGACCTTATCTTGGAACGTTGTACCAAATGCTGGAATTCTGCCTCTTGTGACAGGAACAGGACGTGTATCTGTCCCATTTCCAGATGCATATGAAATAACCAAGAGTTATTAAATTATTCTGCATTTGAAACACCACATTTTATACAGAATGAATTATTTCATTTGTCTTGAATGTTTTTCTTTTGCTTTTTACCTTTTTTAGATTTTCTCTCTCTCTTTTTTTTTTTTTTTGCTACAACAGCAAACATCAAAAGGCATATTTGATATAAAAGGTAATGGGCTACTTAAATTAATTTTACAACCAAAAACAAAACAAAAGGCTACCAGAGTGGAATATTATCTTATAAAAATAAGACAATTGCATAATAATTTTGTGTGTGTATGTGTTCCTATATTTCCATTATTCTTTAATGAATCAAAGTGAATTTGAAGGGAACTTTTGGATGCCTGTAGAATTATAAACATTTGTTATTTTATGCCTAGCATTTGTGCAAGTTCACATTGAATGTTATTAAGAAGTTGAAGTTTTCTAATCTCTTATAGGGTATGCTGGATTACTGGAAAAATGTAGCATGGTTGCCAGCTAGAAGCCTGGTTTACAAAACAAACAAAAGTGACAAAATTTTATGACATTAGTCTTGGAATTGCCTATAGTGCTTGATTTTCTTGTGGGTGACTAACAACTTTCACCATGTAAAGATCAAATACTTTTCTGTGGGCTGTAAATCATTCTAACTTATTTAAAAGTCTCTTAAGTCAACCAACTGTATGTCTTTCAGTGCTTTCTCTGTAAAGGTTACTTTGTGGTATGTTCCTGTATGATGTTTTAGCATTATCATTGAAAATTGAAAGTGTTTGCATAGTTTACCCTCTGAGTTAAGTTTGTTTAGTGAGTATGTCTAGTGCTACTAAGTAGTAATTATTTACAATGCTCTTTAGGTCCCCATTTTAATCGTTACCATGATAATGATAATAGTTGTATGATTTTTCACTTACAAAATACTCTCATGTATATTTATCATATGTTATTCTCAATAATCTAAGGAGTTACCAGGTGCAAGTGTTAGCTCTTTGCAGATGAAGAAACTGAAATTCAGTTTATTGCATTGCTTCAAGGTTAAAAACTAGAAAGTAATGGAGTTAAAACTTTAACTCATATCTTCTGACTATTGAAGGTTATTTTTTAATCTTACACCTGAGATTATAGATTAATCAATTTTAACTTATAATTTACATTATAGTTTTGGTACCCTGCATCCTTTCTATCATTCCTAGAAGAGGTTTTTTTCATATTAAATGAAAGTGACTAATTTTCAAGCTGCCAACAACTTATATCTAATTTCTTTTCTGAATAAATTAATTTTATTTACAGTAAAAGCTTAACAAAATCCAAATATATTCATTTATAGCTTAGAGATAAAATACTTTATTGAATATATAGTTTAAATTGATTTCTTTTTCTGTTGTAGGGAAATAAACTCCCTCAAAGGTACCAACTGTGAACCAATTGCCCTTAAATCAAGACCAATCACTATACTTACAATACCAATAATAATAATTAACAAAATATATTTTATTTATTTCACTAAATGTGTCACTATTTAATTATACTATAATTAACAGCTGTATGTGCAGTTGTACAGTTCATAGAAAAATATGTATGTTTGAGTTTTTCAAACCAATAGAAAGGTCACAGGTGTAGTGTCATGCATACTAGACTCGATTTTGCTCCTATATTTTTCATTAAACTTTTCAGAGTCTCAGTTTCTTTATCTGTAAAATGAAAGAGTTGGACTAGTTAACATAAATGATAGTGCTTTCATACTTCATGCATGTATAAACTTTGTTTTATCTCTTCAGAAAAGAGATTGAACAGAAAAGCACTTTGGTAATGTGCAGACAGGAAGATGATTGAAAGACTAATACATAATTCATATTGATTTCAAAATATACTGTGAAGCTATACTAATCAAAACAGCATGATACTGGCATAAAAAAGACACAGACCAGTGGAATATAATAGAGAGCTGATACATAAATTCATATATTTACATCCAACTGATTTCCTACAAAGGTGCCAAGAACATACAATGGGAAAATATCTTTCAGTTCAATAAATGATATTGGGAAAATTGAATATCCACATACAGAAGAATGGATTAGATTTTACTTCACACCATATAAAAGATCGACTCAAAGTAGATCAAAGACTTAATTGTAAACAGAATCTGTGAAAGCACTAGAAGAAAACTAAGGGTAAAATTTCCTGACATTGATTCAGGCAATTTTTATCTGGATGTGACATCAAAAACACAAGCAACAAAAGCAAAAATAGACAAATAGTAGTATACCAAATTAAAAAGTTTCTGCACAGATAAAGAGAAATGGACAGAGTAAAAAGAGAACTTCAAAGCTGCAAACTGTACTTCTGATAAAGGAATTCAAATAATCCAATAGCAAGAAAGCTAATAACCCAATTGAAAATGAGCAAAAGACCTTAATAGACATTTTTCAAAGAAGATATACAAATGGTCAACAGTTATATAAAAATGCTCAACATCACTAATCATCAGGAAAATGCAAATTGAAACCATGATGACGTACCACTCCTGTTAAAATGGCTATAATAAAAAGACAAAAGATAACAAGTATTGATGAGGATGTGAAGGAAAAGAACCTTTGCACACTCTTGGTAGAAATGTAAATTATTAAAGCTGTTATAGAAAGCAGTATGAAGTTTCCATCAGAAATTAAAAATAAAACTGTCACATGATCCACCAATTCCAATATAGAGTATATATCCAAAATAAATGAAACCAATGTATGGAAAGAATATCCACATTCCTATATTTGTTGCAGATATATTAACAATTACTAAGAAATGTAATCAATCCATAAAGTGTCCATAAACAGTTGAATGAGCACAGAAAGTGTGTGTGTGTGTGTGTGTGTGTGTGTGTGTGTGTGTGTAAGTAAGAGAAAAGGGGGAATAAAATAATATCCAGCCACAAAAAAATGAAATATTGTCATTTGCAACAACATATATGAAAATGGAGTATATCATGTTAAGTGAAATAAGCCAGTACTGCATGATCTTAAATAAGACAAGTACTGCATGATCTTACATGTGGAATCTAGAAATGTTGATCTCAGAAATACAGAGAATAACAGAAGCTGGGACAGTTTGAGAAGTGTCGGGAAGATGTTAAAAAGATAACAAAATTAAAGTTAAAGATCTACTGTATAGCATAGTGACTATAATTGATGACATATATTGTATTCTTTAAAAATGCTAAGAAAGTGGATGTTAAGTGATTTTTAAAAAATATTATGACTATGTGAGGTAATGCATATGTTAATTAACTTGATTTAATCATTTGAAATGTATATATACTTCAAAATATCATGTTGTAAAAATAAGTAAATGCAATTTATGGCAATTTAAAAATAAATAGCATAAAATTAAAATCTCAACTTGCAAGTATTTATGTCACAGATCGCAATATTAATCCTTTACTGAGTACCTAGTAATATTCTAAGTACATTAATGTACTAACTTGAGTAATCTCAAAACAATAACCCTTGAGGTAGGAAAATTTGATTTCCTAATTTTTTTACAGAAGAAAAAGCTGAGGCAGAAAGTAGTTCCTTCCCTCTCCCAAGGTCATAGACAGCCAGGTATCCCAATATCTATGCAAAATATTTTTTAAATAATAGGATATTGACTATTTATCCTTGTAAAACGAAAGCACAAAGCAATTATTTAAGAGCATTTTCTTTTCTTTGAAAGTACTGCATAATCCAGATTCTACAGATGGGGCCTTTGAATGACTTTAAAGTGAGATAAAAGTATTCAGAGTCACACAATATTGAAGAACAAGGATTGGTCCCTAGTTTGTCTGCAGAGCCTCCACTCCTGACCAGTATACTTAAGAAGAAGAAACATTTGTTGAATCATATCAGCCCATCATGTTTAATATTATATATCAGAATCTTATTTCTTTGTGTGAAAATTATCCTTTAGTAGCCATTTTTCCATGTATCAGATGGTGTTTATTTACAAATTATTATCGAAAGGTAATAGTCATAGAAACAAAAGAGTAATGATTATTTTTAAAATGTAATAATCATCACAGTTATGTTACATTAGAAAATTTGGCCATTAAAGTAATTCTTTGGATTTCTATGGCAAATTATATTCCCTTTTATGAACTCAGAGTGCTTTTCCTGATGGAAATCACATTTAACTGTGCTCTAGACTTTGTTGATTGGTAAGCAAGGCTGGTCTGACCCTTGGTGACAGGTGGAGCAGATGATATTTATCCAAGGTCATCTAGAGCTATTGGGTTAGAACTGGCACTGTAGCCCAGGTATGTCTCCTTTCTCTCACTCAGTTGATTTTTTTTTTATCAGAGGCTGCATTAATTCTATTCCTATATGTAGCAAATCATTTCTTAAGGACGTAGAGCATGTAGTTATCTGAGATCAACCTGCAGGTTATATAAGAGAATAGTAAAAGTTCCTGGAATCACATGGCATGTATTCTTTTGTGTCTGGCTTTTTTGAATCAACAGAATGTTTGTGATTTACATTTTGCCCTCTCTATTTATAGATTGTTCATTTTCATTGGCTTATAGTATAAGAATTACATAGTTTAGATAATTGCACCCCATACATAATGAAGATGTATGCATTTTTCAATTTTTGAATTCTTATAAATACTGATGCCATGAATGTTCTTGTACAAAATTTTAGATAGTCACTTATTCCCATTTATTTTTGACATCAGTCAACCAGTGGAGTTTATCTGCCATCAGTAGATGGCGTCAAACTTTTTCTGAAGGGGTTGTTCTAATCTGTATCCTTATTGGTAGTGTTAAGTGTCCAACTACTCCACATCCTCATAAATATTTGGTATTTTCCATCTTTTTTCTTTCTGGACATATGGAGATATCTTCTTGTTTCAATTTTAACTTCCCTTTACTTTAGCTCTCTGTATAGTATTGATTCTCCTTTAATCTAAAGATGATCTGCCCATCCAATTTTTACCTATTGTATCTATTTACTTAAGAAATTTGTTTTATTTTGTCATGTGAATTTTTCTGATAGTAACCTTATTGTGTTGTTTATGTTCCTTTGGTTTCTCCTCTTTCCTTTAAATTGGTTATTAAATCTGAGACTTGTTTAGATTCAGGGTTTTTGACAAGAATACCTCATATTGGTGTTGACTATTTCTACACTGTTACACCTGGAGGCTGATTTGGTCTGGTTGTCACTCCTTCTGTGTACTTGAACTTGATCACTGGATTCAAGGGCTGTCAGACTAATTACATCCATTATAAAATTTTCCATATCTCTCACTTCATGGTTTTGCAGCCTCTGCATATTTATACCTAGATCTGCACTTTATCAAAGGTTATAAAAACAATAATGTCATAATCTTGATTTCTTATGAATTCATTAGCTGTGATTCATCTCTAAAAGCAACTTCTCCTCAACTCTTAGGTTATATTGAGGTATGATATGCAGAGGAACTATTGGATGAGTGTTCAATGATTTTGAAGTATTTCATCTTTTCAAAACATTGAATTATTTACCTAAGAGCTTCTAAACAGGAGCTCTTTTTTTAATGTCATGGAGTCACATATATTTACATAGTCAATGTGTTTTAAT